TATTTAAGAGTCTCATTAGGAAAGCCATATATTAATACATTCATTAGTCCAAAATATTTTGTTTCCAAAAATTTTTTTATCTTCAGTAGAATAAGTCATACATTTGAAGTAGCAGTAGTAGTAGTAGTTAACTTGCAACTGAGCATAACACTTCCTCGTGAGTTCTACACTATACTTTATCACTTAATTATTTAATTCGAAATGTATACTTGCATATTTTAGTAGGCTTATATTAATTTCACATCAAAGAAAACCTTAGCATATTTAAAACTCAGCAAATCTCATATTTGCTCATGTTATTAGCATATGTTATCCACCTTAAGCCCCATGTACCATGTGCTCTCACCCCCAGCCCTTGCTCCCACTTACATTTTAGTGTGTCGGGTCATGCCCTTTCAGGTTAGGGCAGGTTGGGTCTGGGTCAATATTTTTTACTCATTTGTCTAATCGTGTTGGGTTCGAGTCGGGGCAATTAAAGGTGGGTCCATTTTGAGTTAGATCAGAATCTGGTCTTAAAACCCAACACCCTTAGCCAAAATGTTCAACAAATTCAGTAAGAATTCATATTTTTTTTTTTAAATTACACCAAATTATTAGAGAATATTTAGAATATTATTTTAAAGCTTTTATTATTCAACAAAATAAATTTCTAGGGTCAAAATTATTTTTAGATTGTTAAAAATATCAAGTTTTTTAAATTTCTCTATGAAAATTTTCAAATAAATTATTAAAATATTCATACAAAAAACATATCAAAAGTTATATGGTGAAATATTAATAGATTTAAAGTTCTCCTTATTTTAACATTGCAAATCGATAAATTTAATAAGAAAAATATCAAAATATTTACATTATTAAAAGTTGAGATAAGCAGAATATAACATGCCTCTATCCGGACAACTTTCCAAATTGGGTCGATGACATAATATAATCTGAAGTAGTCCTAGCCTGACTTTCTCTCTCTAAAATCCTCCTCTATCTTTCTCTCACTAAATAATAGCCTTAGGTGTGGTTGAATAAAATGAGGATTTTAAGTGGAATTTGATATTTATTAAAAATTTTGATCTAGCACTACAATCTCTAGATAACGGCACCACTGCGCCGACGCATATTAAAATGACCTAAATCCAAGAGCTCAGTGCTATAGCTCTCCCAACCCAATGTTGTGGATCTCCCATGGAATAATTTTATATTTAGATTGTTGCATACTAAGCTAAACAAAGATTATAATCTACCTCAAGGGAATGCCTCTTGGTAACCATTCTAATGCATATGTCATAAATTTGATCCTAAAAATAGGAAGGCTTAGAACTTACTTTCACTATAGAAAAATCATCCATTACCGACGGATTTTTCTGACGAAAAGGGTCAATTTCCTGCGGTAATTAGTATATTTAGCTTTGCTATGAGGAATTTTTAAAGGATGATCAAATTAATATATTAATTATATTTTGACATATTTAAAGGTGTGTATATTAACTTATGTCATCATTGAGAAGTTTGTTGGATATGTGCACCCTTTGATTAATGGTAATTTGGTCATTTGATAGATCTAAGGACATAGATTACCTTTTGTCATTAAACTTTTGTATACTTGATCTTTAGTTCCATCAATATCATACATAATTATAAGAGCTTTCTCATATCATGATTATAAATTATTTCATAAAATTTATGCTCTTACATCATCATAATGATAATATGAATCAAGATCATTATGATCTAATCTTAAGAAAAATAAAGTAGTTTTAATTCTATAAGTATTATCATCTCTTCATTTGTTATTTGCATAGTTAATTTAGCATAAATCTTGTTTTTGGGGAGTTAAACCACCTTAATCTTTTGACATTAAGTTCTCAATTTTATAATCCATTTTTATCATCAAAATTTTATCTTTAATAAATATTATTCACATCACCTTCATAAAAAACTATTTTCCAACTTAATCTTTCAAAATATGTCGCATTCATTTACCATTCCACTTTCTCACCTAAAAGCCAAATTCATGAAATTTTTTTCCACATCAAAAGGAAGACAGTTTAACAACCAACATTTTCAAAATATTCAATGCCAAAAGAAAACTTTTAGCTCCTTTCTATCTTTAAATGCCACAGACGTGCAACAAAATAGTATGGTTGGGTTCCATTGGAAGCTGTGGAGGAGAAATTATTATGTGCGGAGTTCGGACATAGCTTACGTCCAGACTCCAATCAAAATAGGTCACATCGCCTGCACACAACATATGTACAATCTTGTACACAGTGTGTGTATAATACACACACTGTATACAAGTGATATAGCCCTTTCCCATTGGAGTCCAGATGCCGTCAGGACATTAAATCGGCCTCAGATTCGAACCGGTTCAAAAGGCCAAATAGCTCATCATGGTGGTTTAGTCCAGTCATGTCCAACCCATTTTTACACCTTGATTGTACTATCATAATCAATTTAAAACCTTACATCAATAATGGTTAACTTGCTCTATTATAATATTGTGCATGAATTTGAAATATGAATATTCATTTTGAGGTCAAAACTCAAAAGAGATTACTGCATCCTTCCAACTCCTACCAGAATTTACATTAAAGAGGTATATATTATTATAATAATTCTATATAATTTTCATTATTGAAATTTAATAATCTAAAAACCAAATTTTAATTTTAAAATGATATGCTTATTAAATAAAATATTTTTCTTCTTTTTTATTTAAATATTAAATCAACTATTAATATAAATATCAAGGGCAATATTTATCTTTATTATCTTTCTTTTGATATATCAACTTAAACTACTAAACCCTAACTTTAACTTTTTTTTTATAATTTGTTTTTAGTTTTTCTATATAATCATATTTATTCTTTAATTGTGTTCCATCAGATTCTTATCATATTTTTTTAAAAAGTAATTTATTAAATTTGCTCAATAATCTTTGTAAAATACAATTTGTTGGTTAATTACTTAATTCAATCTATTTTAAATATAGATTAAAATAAACTGATTTGATCATTCTAAATGCTCTCCCATCTCTTGTTTTTTAATAATATAAATGCATGATCACCAGCTGAAAACTTCATTCTGACACAACAGCCAAGCAGCAAGCATCAATCATAATTATATGTACAACAATTCATAAGCATCCCTCATAATTAAAAAAAAAAAATTATTTTGTTCGGTCACCGGCCGACGTCCGAAGGCAAATCAGAGCACGTCATGTCACTTTTTTACTATATATCAATATTATATACCATTGTGTACTGGATGACATGAAGAGCTCTGAGTTGCTTCTGAACAATCCGGTGACCGCACAAAATAATTTCTCGAATAGGCTTCGTTTAACACAATTTTTTTACCGCTTTTTAAAACAGCTTTCTAAGAAAAAAATTCTCAAATAAAATTTTTTGTAAAATAAAATGTTTTTGTACAAAAAATTTTATTTAAAAAAAAGTAAAAAAAATTGTCCTAAATGAAACCTTAATTTAGGGTGAGTTTGGGACGGCTCCAGCTGTCGATAAAGTAGGTTGTGAAGTTATGGTGCAGAAAGTTACTTTTTGAACTTGCTGTACATAAAATAGTATATTTTATTTGGATGATATAACTGTGGAGCTGCTGTGCTGCAGATGTGTGGAAACAAATTACCTAGATACCCTTATATATATTAAAATGAAAGAAATTTGTTTAAAAGATATTTTTTAAAAAAATATATATACGATAAACAACTAACAATTTTAAATTTTTTAAAAAAAGATATTTTTTTAAATTTTCTTTGCCGGTGCAAAGAAAATCCCTCCCATACAGCCGTAGAACTCCAAGCGCCTCCGGCCTCGACTGCCCAACCTCAATAGTTCCGTCGAGCATCATTTAGCCGTTTTAGCTCAAAATCCCTATTAAATCCCACAATCAAATGGCAAAAATACAGGAGAGAAAATGCCAGTAGCTCACTTTCACTAAAGATGGGAGGAGAGGGCAAAAGAGAAAGCCAGCGGCTCCAATCTCCAGATCCTTCCAAATTGTTTTCTTTCATTCCAAAAGATTAAAAAAAGAAAAAAAAAAAAAAAAACCTTTGATCGAGCAATCAAAAGAAGAACAGCGACTGATCCTATTGCTAAGGATCTTTAAAGACCTCAATACCCTTATGAATGCATATCAAAGTCGCCAAAAATGGATCAAAAACCACAAATATGACAGGAAGTAAAATAAGATTTGCAGATGAAACAGACCAGTGGCTCTCCCTTTTGGAAGAGGTTGGACATAAGCTGCGAGGGGTCAGCGGGCTTCTTTGGTGAGAAGAATTTCATGGCGAAGTACCACATAACCGCCATCCGGATTATTCCGGTCACCATCTGGCCAAACCCTCCCTGCTGCCTTTGCCTCACCGGCGTAGCCGGCGTAGCCTACGTAGCCGAAATAGCCTGCGTAGCCACTGGTTGCACCATCGATGGCCGCCGAAGAACGCGACGAAGGATTAGGACAACTGGAGTAACTTACTAACCTCTCCCAGTTCTCAGAACTCCCGCCACCACTGCCACTCGAAAGCTCTTCTTCCGACTCCGCCTTTGCTCCGCCTCCGGCCATCCTAATCCTAGCTTCCCCCGGAAAATTTGATAAAGCCAATGGGTTTTACGGTGGAAGAAGAAGATGCGGTGTATTTCGCAAGGCATTTACGTCTTTTTCTTACCCTCAAACAGCGGAAAACAGCGAAAGCAGGAGCCGACTTCTGGACGAAAAAAGCAGCCGCGGGACGCAAAAATTTTGAGAACGGAGCACGACCTTGTCTCCCCAAACCCCAACTCGGTTGCGTTTCCTACCGTACAGCAGGGAAAACGGCGTCCCAAACGCACCGTTAATATCACTCACAGTTTAGTTTCTTTTAATTATATGCCTACAAAGAAATCAATCTATACATAAAAAAGAGAGTACCAGCATTTAATAAATATTTTTTGCTCTTTCTTACTCCTTATGAGCAAATTACCACAAACTGTCGTACATAAAGCAAAGCAGCCAAAGAAGTTAGAAATTTATTTGAAATTTGAAGAAGTGGCACAAAGAGTTACAGAAAACATAGTAAATCGTATAGATTCAATGAGAACTTTGATACAGGCTTCATTAAATTGTCATTCATAAAGCTTATTATGCCTCATTTCCAACAATTTTGTAGCACAAAATGCTCTCGAACCATAAAGAGTAGCATAAGCAAAAGCAAGAAAGATATCTACAATGGCCAAGGCCGATTACTTCGCTGGAACTGAGAAGCTGCATACCTTTGATCATAAAAATCAGGTGCGAAGAAATGGCCAGAGCTTCTTGAATCAAACGGAGAAATAGAATTCGGATAATAATGGCTTAAATGACCCCTATGATCAAACTGGGAAGCATAAGCTGAATATGGTTGTATAAGAAACCTCTCTCTGCTTACTTGTGGAGCTGCAAATTTGTTCCTTTGATGTAAATCTGGGTGTGAATTGTCAAAAATGTTTGGAGAAGAAGGCCTCAGAGCATATTGATCCACTTCTCTTGCATTTGTGTATGAAGATGTCATCGTTTTGAGCTTCTTAGAATGCTTAGCTGAGGATGAGCTTGCTCTGATTTTGTTGTTGGAGTACTTTGTATGAGCTTTGGCATTATTGAAAGATTTTGGTTGGTTTCTTCCGGAAGTAGAAGCCTCTGAAGGTTTCTTCTGTCGTTTGATTTGATGTTGTTTAGAATCAGTGAGACTTCTCTTGCGCTTGGAACCTGCAAGGGTAAACTTATAATTGATAAGCCTTTTAAAGCGCAGTTGATCAGTACAAAGATGCAATTATTTCAAAGTGAGAAAAAAGTCAAAATGGTCTCTAAATTACAACTAAGAGACTATTTGAAGTTTCTAATTTAGACCTCTCATTTCACAATATTACAGTAAGGTTCATTGCTGTAACTATAAACAACCCTTCCACGTCACTCACCTGACGTGTCCTGTATCTCTGTAACCAATACATTCAATCTATTACATTTTCTGTTTCTGTTTTTCCTTTCTCTTCCTTTCCTTTCCTCGGTCTCTGTTTTCCTATATGGTATCAGAGCTGCCATGGCAGATCAAGAATCGGCAGCATCTCTTCCCCCTTCTTCTTCCTCAACCATCTCAAACTCTTCCAAACATCTCGCCATTCCACCGAAGCTGAGCATCGGTCTCTATCCTCCGCTACCTCAGACATACTATGGCTTCGTCGTCTTGTACACAAGCTTCAAATCACACAGCACCAGCCAACAGTTATCCACTGTGACAGCATCTCAATCATAGCCATGGCTAACAACCCGGTTTTTCACGCAAGAACAAAGTATATTGAGATCGATTTTCACTTCATACGTCATCATCTCAACTCAGGAGAACTTAAGATCGCTCATATCAACTCCGACAATCAAATAGCTGATATCTTCACCAAATCATTCGCAACAGCTCGATTCACTGACTTAAGAAACACACTAACCATTCGATCTATGAATGATTAGTTTGAGGAGGCATATTAACAACCCTTCCATGTCACTCACCTGACGTGTCCTGTATCTCTGTAACCAATACATTCAATCTATTACATTTTCTGTTTCTGTTTTTCCTTTCTCTTCCTTTCCTTTGCTCGGTATCTGTTTTCCTACAGTAACAACTAGCTTCATTCTTCTTCAGAAGGTAACCTGAAGAGACTCATTTGGCAAGCTTGTAAAGCCAGGTCTACAGGAAGTGCTCAAGCAGTCTAGGAAGAATTCATAATTATATACTACGGCTAAAAATATGATTGGCATTCTGTCGTTAAGAAATCATTGTCATTCATTCATTTTAAATCTTATAAAGTATTAATCATTAATCTAGCATTAAAATAAATGAAGTTGATATCAAGAATTTTTTAATCCTAAGAGTTATATCTTACATATGCCTCTTATAAAGGTATTGCAAACGTTCAACAATCGTGCAAAATATAAAATCTGAATTTGAGATCCAATTTTAACTGAATTCATTCATTTCAATTTTTGAATTAAGGATGGAATTATTGAAGTTAATGGGATATTAATTCAATTTAATTTTATATTTTTTTACAATTTATAGCCTTGGAGAAAATAGATTAAAATGTGTTACAGTTTCATAAATATTTTTTTTTTAATTTATAGCCTGTACAATTTTTTTACGAATTTGTATTATTCATAACCAAACTTGGATTATAGATATGCTAATTTTTTTTATTTGCAAATTAATGAAAATGAAGTATTTTACTTCCTGCATTATTTAGTTGTAAGTTTACATTTGAATGAAATTGCACGTTAGAATTACATTTTAAAATATAATTCCCATTTGAACGCATTATTAAGATAAATTATTTCGTAACTGACCATCCAAATTGAAAAATACAATCTGCTATTTTTTTTGTAATAAAATGTTTACGACCACATGCACTCAAACCATATAAATTTTTACTAAGTTATAAAAGAAGCCCATAAAGAGAGACAACCAATTCAAACTCCCAATGGGTTTATAAGATTGGATAGCTTCAGGAAATAATGAAAAAGTGCTTGCTAGAAACAGGATAAGGCTTTACATCTATGAATATATTCTCCACTTCCTAAAAAATGATATGGCAAACCGATTATTCAACTAGTATGAATTAAGAGGACTTTCATAATTTTGAAATAACGCAAACCTGAATTGACTCTAGCTTTAGTAGATGCTCTAACATGTCTTGCTGTGGCTCCCCTTCTGTGCTTCTCTTCAAGAACCTTGGATCTATCCGCCTCATTGGCCCAGCGCTAAGCATATAAAGTACCATGACTGACAAGATTATAATTGATGAAAGAAGAAAATCTATATTGATGGCAAAACTGATGTGAATGGAGAGCATTTCAGCAGTGAAAAACGGAATTGTCCAGTAAGTCTAATCAGAGATGGACGATTTCTTTAAGCAATATTGGATGCAGGAATTTCAAATGGAACTTGTATTCTATTTTCCAAGTAAATGAGCATCATAAGTTAATTAAAAGAAATGAGAAAATTCTACCTATTATCTGGACATAAAGAACAGCGATAAATATATGCAAGAAAGTAAACCAATCAAAACGAAAAAAAAACTGCCTCAATTAAAAATTCAACGCATGGAACAACGCAACTAGCTCCCCAGCTTGAAAGAATTCAACGCCAAACTATTCTAGCACGTCCTAAGAGAGAACTCATGTTAAGATAGTTGCTATTTGCATGCTTTATATTTTTGCAACTTGTATAGTTTTGATGATTCCAAACTTTATTGTTTAAATGTGTAGTTATCTCCTAACAATTTTAGAAGATTTATATTTGCTCTAGTGCTAATTACTAGACTCAACAACTCATGCATTGAAAGTAAAGCAGCAGCAAGCAGATCAAAATCATAAGGACTTATGATAGACAATTCAGTAAATGTGAGTGTAGTTGTAGCTTGGTCTACTTCAGATATAAATTATGCTCTTTTGATGCTAATGAAAAAAGATGCAAAAAGCAGATTACAGACTGAACTTGTTCATTTATAATAACAATTTTTACAACAATGAATTGTCATCTTGGTTGGCCATTAAAAGAGAAGCATAATGCTAAGTTAAGTGTTGCAGAGATGAGGATGTTCAGGTGGATGAGTGGATTTACCCTTACAGATAGGATACGAAATGAGCATTTATGTCAAAAGGTTTGAGGTAGCTTCAATGAAAGATAAGATTAAAGAGAGTCGTCTTAGATGGTTTGGTCACATAAAATGACGGTCTTCTGATGACCCGGTTAGAAAAGTAGAGGTATTAGATTTGACCTATATTAATAAAGGCAGAGGTAGACCTAAAAAGACTTCGTTATAAAATATTACAAATGATCTTTCTTTATTAGATTTAAATGAGAATTTGACTTTTAACAGGATACAATGGAGAAAAAGGATTCATGTAGCCGGCCCCACATAGTAGGACAAAGGCTTGATGTTGTCGTTGTTGTTATAATGAATTGTCATCTTGATGATCCAAGCGTATTGTTACATCATCAAAAATGTTAAACGAATTCACAAAGATATAAAGATACCCTCTTGAGAAATCTGTGAAATGAGCAACTTCTAATCTTCTTTGAATCATCTCTCTTTATTGCTACTATTATACTATTTCTATTTTTGTTTGTCTTATGAAACTTGGAATTTTTTTCTCTTATTGAGAATGTGTGCGGTTGAAATTTAAAATGGTTGGTGAGTGTCCTTATTTTAAATACCATTTTGTGGCTTCTCTTTAGTGGATCATATCCTCTCTTATCTCACGTGGGCATAGGCTTCGTAAGTTGAATCACGTAAATCTTAGGGTTTTCTTTGTGGTGATCAATCTCTATCTATGTAGCATTGTAGTTCATCGTATTTTTTCCTGAGTGATGTTTTCACATAAAAAATCAATAACTTTTTTATAGTAAGCTCATGCATAAATGTTATAGCTTCCAATAGAGACTAGAGTATCATTAATAAAAGGGTATACTGTGATACCTCTAGTAATCAACATCAATGGTGGTCACAAACACATCAACAAGTATTGAGATGCAAAAAAGTAAGAGAACTCAATGAAAGAGATGATGCTTCAAGTAGGCAAGGAATTGAACCACCTTGATAGTGGTATCAATCAGGTGATACTTGACGAAGAAATGTTGTAAAGAGAAATAATATTCTCAAAAGAATTGATATGCTTGCGATTTGAGAAGGATCGGTAGTACACTATGGGGCTTTGAACTTTAATGGGACAAGATGCTCTAGGATCTTAGGTGAGAAGGGGTTGTTATGAGTGTAAGTGGCGGCATGAGGAGGAGGTCAAGGAGCATTATCAGTTATGATCACATTACTTTTGTTGAAAAGGCAAGAAACTTGGTGGGCAAATGAAGCTTGCAATACTTTTGCGAGTTGGGTAATCTGTTGGCAGAGGCTCTTTACATGGGTATCAAATCACTTTTGAGGGATGAAAGCATTGCTTTTGAATGGCTTTTCAGTATGATAATCAAGGTTGGGTTGGATTTATCAAGGGTGCTACTTCCTTCGGTCAAAACTCCTTTTTCATCACAAGAGAGAGTACAATTTCCCCCATACCATGACAAAGAATATGAATAGTGAAAAGTCATTCTCTAGAAAGGCTGAGGGAGAGCACAGACCCAAGAATTCGAAAGAAAGAGTTCATGAAAGCACTATACCTAGATTACTCTGTAGGAGACAGAAGAAAACCATATCATAAAATAAGACTAGATTTATTATGGTTCAGCTGAAATACCTACATGCACTTACGGGCTAGTCGAGAAGAAATGTGCACTATTTAAGTGAGCTCCTGAGCATGAAACATGCTACATGACAGGAACATGGAGAGAAGAAAAGAAATATAATAATGAGAGATTATACTAAAAAGAAATTTTAATTGCGAGAAGTAATAGAAAATGAGAAGGAAAAAAAAAACAGAGAAAAGAAAGCCAAGAGCCTTGAATAAACTTTTCCTGATATCAGCAACTTTTTATGAATCTGTAAATTATCGCACTTGTGTATCTGTATTTACGTAGAAGATGGTGTGCCTCAAAGTTGGGATCAATTGTAAGGCTAATCCAGGATCTTAAGACAATGGACGCTAGCATTCCCTAGTAAGGGTGTAATTGAGTCAAGCCTACTCATGAAGCGGCTTGGGCTAGACTCAATAAATGGCTTGTGCACCAAGCTCGATAAGCTTATGAGCATACTCTGACTCAACTTGTTGGCTCATGAGCTTGCTTGACATGTTTATTAAATATTAATATAAATACACTTAAAATATATTAGAATTCAAGAATTTAACTTCAAAGTTGTTAAAATTTTAAAATTTATATATCACATCCATAAATGAAGTGATTCATTATTATTTCTCTTCTTAGTTATTATCATCTTCATCATTTCATCATAATAAATGCTTCAATCATAATCATTTTCTTTTTTTTTTTTCCATAATAAATAACCCGACTCGTAAGCAAACTCAAACTCGTGGAATTGAGCTCAAGCTCAAGCTTGAACTCGTTTAATTAATCATGATCAAGGTCAACCTTAAGCCCAAACCAAGGATTACTCAAGTTCGACTCGACTCATTTACACCCCTATTCCCTGTGATATAAAAGACGGCATGACAAAGTAGGAAACCATACATAAAAATAGAATGGTGGCAACATTTGACACCACGGGCTGCACAACAAGGCCATAGAAATTAGAACTTCTTGGAAAGTGGTTTCATGATGCGTAATAACTAATGGAGCGTCATGATTTTCTTAAATGCTCTCTTATTCCAATAGTATAATGTGTGTGGATCATTGATATTGCTCGTTAAATGACATGAGGCAAGGTGCCCAAAACATGAAGAAGGTACACAAACGTGCCCAAAACATGTCGAAGAAGATACAGTCCTATGAGGAAATGCCATTCCAGGACTGTCATAGGAACACACTCCCACGAGATGGCAAACAAAGCAACACTCCTGAAGATAATTCCAGAGAGATGTTTTTGAAGGACTTCACAAGAGAGTAATTAAGTCAGTGGAGGTTAAATATGTTATAATAGCAATAGCCACATATAAGATCGAAATTGCATTATAGATTCAAATAGATTTGAAGATTAGATCTAAAATTGTCAGGAAAAATCAAGAATATGAACCAAGAGAATGCAATTAAGTCAGCAATATTTAAATATGTTATAATAGTGATAGCCACATATGAAATGGAAACTGCGTTAAATAGAGTTTGAAGGCTACATTTACACTTCCCAAGAGAGCAATTAAGTCAGCAACAGTTATACATGATATAATAGTAGTAGCCACATATAAGATGGAAATTGCATTAGATATTGACGATTACATCTAAACTTCACATAAAAACTCATGAATGTGAATCTGAGCTTTTACAATTCGTCTATGAATTTATAATTGAACAAGTCATGTATGCTATAATTTAAGAGCCTAATGAGCCAAAAAAAAGAGATGATAAATCAATTGAATAAGTTGATCCAACTCCATACGAAAATTTCAAAAAAGTTATTTCTATCAATAAAAAATCATTTTGCTTTTGGTTCATAATTTCTTCGCATACAAATTCGAAAGAAGAGACATAAGAAGGTAAAATTACATCTATATTTCAATGAATTTGTTAATAAATTATTTTTTAAATAATGAAAGTCATAAAAATATGAATTTAGTGTTTGCTCAAATTTGAAAGTGTGTAAATCATCTCCATAAATATTCAAGTTATATGTATCAGCTTTCTTTAAGGAGAATGTTCATTCATATAATCATTGTGGGCTCCGAAAGTTCAGCCCCGACCTCCCCTGCTACTTTCGGGGTAGTTTTAATGGATTAAGTTCCGGGAAAAATTTTAGGAAGACAGATTGGATTTGTAAATAAGACACTACCCAGAGATTTCACCCTCAATTTGTGAGTACTTTAGATCTGAGTTCTAGTTTCCTATAGGCGAAATCCCCTAGTTAATTACTCCTCCCAATAACAAGAGATAACTTTCGATTAAGGCTAGTCGTCGATCATATATGTTGTATCTATAAATACAAAGTATCAGACTTATAGTAGCAGCATTGACATTTGGAATTAAAAATTTTAACATTTAAAATTAGAAATTTCACCATCTTGCACTTAAAGCAGATGGTGGGAGAATAGATGATGGACCAATCAAGATCCCATGGTTTCGTCATCCTGGGCCATCATAGTCCCTGGTCTACTTAGTCAGAGGAGGTAGTCAACCCAACCTGACAGAAGGATCCTTGTCGGCAGCCATGGGTTGCTTCGTCTAAGAGTACCTTGTAGACCTGAGATAGATATTTGTCTAAGGGGACAAATTTGAATCCACCTTAGCTAAAAGAGGGCTTTGTGCACTATCGATTATATCATATTGATTCATATCTCAAGGATTTGATGCCATTGGGGACCATACAGGCTCTGGTCATGGCCGTAATTTAGTGGTGTCATTTGATGGCAAACCACCAAGTTCAGAGAGCCCCGATCATAACCGTTTACCTACGGTGAAATTTGAGGGCAAAACTGTCAGTTAGAGGACATGTGCCACGTCCTTAATGGTATGAGACTGTTTGAGAATAAATCCTAGTGATATTCTTGACCAGACATTAGCTCTTTATGAGCTGAAGTTATTTTTAAATTTGTTCACCGTAGCAAACTGTTGCGGAGGGTAGATAGATTTTGTTTTGAGTGTTTGATAGTTGAATTTTGATTTTAAATATTTTGAATTTTTGGGATTTTGGAGTTTTGGATTTTGATGAGCATTTGGGTGGAATTTGTAATATTCAGAATTAACCCCTCCGGTTGAGATCCATGCTGAACACAACCATTACCGGGGTGGATGTAGGCAATTTTATTTCATTGATTGAACATTGTCGACTTTGTCTGCTTGCCGACAGAGGATCGAGTTCGCCGATTGTACGCTCTTACTAATGAATTTTTCTTCTTATAGATCTTGAAGGTATAATATGAATGTTTAAAACAAATATATCGGTCAACGTCGTGACTGTATATTTGTTTAATAGTCGAGTTATCTACTTCTACTAAACCACGTTGAAGGATCGGGTTTGAACTTGACTTCATTTACTGACCCGCGCGGCATCCCTAAACGTCAAGTGTACCCGTAACACGATCGTTGGGGCCCATGTTGATATGTGATTGCACATGCACTTTCTTGTAATATATTTTTATGTATACATATTGTAGAGCAAGTGTGGGGGTATTTTGGAATATTCTAGCTGTGTGGGCAATTGTTGTTTCAATGTGCGCAACATTCCAATTGAAAGTTTATACATGCTTTTTTTCCGGCTGTATAAGTGTTGCAGATCCGATGGTGTAGCGTTGTACTACGATCATTTGCCTGTTTCAAACAGATAGACTGTCGTGCACTACTTGTTGTATTCTGCAAGTATATTGTTGCGCACTAATGAATATCTTGCAATGCATTTGTAGATACTTGCATCCATCGTGATTCTTTCATATTTGCTCATGGACATGTTGAATGTATAAAAGGTCTATTTCAATGGTCTGTTGGCATTTACATTTGTTGTAGTCATCTTGTATTTTGCTTGTGGACAACCTATTGGGTGTACAACGAATCTTCTATAACAGCTCATAGGAGCTTGTATGCTCGTATCCCTTTGTTGCATTTGTTGTGGTCTGCAGTATTTCCACTATCATTGAATGTGTGCAAATCATTATGCTCATTAACAAATGATCTTTTTTTTATTAAATTTAAATGAGAATTTAACTCTTAATAAGACACAACGGAGAAAAAAGATTCATGTAGCCGACCCGATGTAGTGGGATAAAGACTTCTTGTAGTTGTTTTACTTTGTACAAATCATACGGTACAACCTTGAAAATTGTGCCTTACAATCCATTATGAAACCTCAAACAGAAACTAACAATTTTCATTGTATCATACCATATTGATTTTTGGTACAACCATAACATGTATTATAACAATCACTATGGAAAAATAAAACAAAAGTATAGACTCAAGGGCTCAAATTACCCCCTATATAAATTAAAATGAAAAAATTTAAACAGTGCAACAAATTTGCATCTCCGGTGATAACCACACACTATAAACTCCGACAATTTACATTTTAATTATTTTCACCCACAGAAAGGTGATACAAGGGAAAAAAAGCACTTATCAATGAATTGAATTGATTCCATTGTCAATTCAGAGAGAAGAAGTGCATTTTTACCTGGCGGAAAGTTCTGTACCTATAGAGATTGCGCCCCTTCACAAGCAAAGGATACAACGATGGTAATGGCTTGACACCTTTGCTCCACAATACTTCGACCTTTTTAATCATGTAAAAAAAATAAAAATAAAAAAAGAAGTTACCAGATAAAATAATTCTCAGGCGGTTTTTAGTTTGACTTACAGTAAAGGTGTGTTGCTGCTTTGCACTACCATAGCTTTCCTTAACAACCCTACCAGCAATTGTTCGCTTTCCTATAACTTTTCCATTTCTTGAAACTTTGTTAAACCTTGAAAAAAAAAATTAGGAGCTCCCTAGTCAAAGAGTACAATCAAAAACAATTTGGAATAGTGAAAAATAAAGTTATCAGGAGAATTTAAGTGCAAAAATGACATACTTATCATAGACTCTTTGCTTGAACATAACAACATCACCTTTGCAAACATCACCTATATTGACAACAACAATTCAACCTGCTTGACAAATGATATAACAGGAATCTAGAGTGAAGGAGACGAGATGTTACCTGTACAGTTGATGGTAAACGAAGACTTTGGATAAAACCTCACGCCATTTCCATCTTTTAGCCTGATAGATACATAATTAGAATGATAAATGCAAGTACATGCCAAAATGCAGCAACAAGGAAAAAAAATTATATTATTATTTGTTATTCAAGATTTAGGTATCATCCTACTGTTCAACGCTTCAAAATTCTAAACAAACTAGCCAGGCAATGTACCCTGTCCAATGCCTAAAACCGGATTTTTGTTAAATGAAATGAAATTAATTGATCTCATAGAACTAATGGAACAGTTTACCAGATCAATTTTAAGTAGCTGTCTGATATTGCACTTTTTTTCTCTGCATTTCTTATATGGATTAAAAGTGTGAGTCCATTCCTCTGTATTTTTAATCTATTTTTCCTCTTGCATCAAAAGGTGTCGAGTTTCAGCAATAGATTTGAGGTTAAATGGTTAATGATAAGTATGGAAAGGAAGAATTACTTGAGAATATAAGAAGTCATCAGAAAGAGAAAAAAGCAGCAACTTTGATGGTTATAAAATGAAAAAAATGGATTCAGTTATCATAGAAGATGAAGTTAATGTGCATAGTTTATTCCAAAGATTAGGAAAGGAATAGAGAAGAGAACCACAGTAAAATAAATATTTCAGCTGGAGAATGGTAGTTAATCTGCTAAAATTCATGACAACTAAATTTTATGGGACAAATCTGAATCCTGGTATTAAGAACTAAACTATTTTGCTATTTGGTGTTGAGAAATAAAAACGGGATTAAAAGAAAACTTGACCATAGCAGAGCTGAGACTGCTGAAGTATATAAACAGAAAACTATACAGAATCGAATGTTAAACGAGTATCAGAAAGTGATGATGTTTTCATGTTTGTGAAAATTATGAAGGCTGATAAGTGGTTAAGAAAGGATTCACTAGAAAATGGGATAGACTAAATAGAAACTACAAGTAACTAGATGAAATTGTTGGTAAGGAGAGTTGAAATACCAAGTTTTTAGAAGAAGAAAACAGATAAGTACTCTATGCTAGGGCCGGCGGTTTAGAGAGAGGAGGATAGTGGTAGCCGGCGGTTTGGAGGGGAAGGGGGAAGATGGCCGGCGTCTTGGAGAGAAAAGAGGGGTGGCCTGCGATTTGGGAAGGAAGGAGGAGATGGATCGTGAGCCCGGACGCTTCCTGTGGTTGATGAGTGATACATTACCCTCACCTAGGGACCTCAACTCTCTCAAGACTCACCAAGACACAAGTGGAGAAAATAATTTCATAATAATCATCATCCCCCTCTCTAGAAGAGAAAAGAGATATAAATAGCAAAGTACAATAGAATAGTAAACATCAAAAGACAAAAGTATCCCTCAGGGATCACAAAAATCTACTCCCTCAAGTGAGAGTAAAATTAGAAACAATACAATAATTAATAAAAATACAAATAATAACTCAGAAATAAAGGAAAGCAATCGTGGCCGTCGATCTCCGGCCACGTCTCTGATAAACTCTCCACTATGGGAAGTCCTCATCAAATATCTTGGCAAAAACTTTCAAGAAACTTACCAACTGAACTAGCATGCACCCATATAAAAATATATCATATTGTCCTAAATGAGGTGGATCCAACCCACTCACTATAGATGGATCGAATTTATTATTGTATTGGGTTTAGAACTATGATGCACCGACACGGACACGACACGACACGACACGGACACGGCAAATTTTAAAAATATAGGACACGAGTGCGGCGTGGACACGACATAATAATTTTTTAATATAATATATAATAATTTTTAAAAATATAGGACACGGACAGGGCACGGACAGATGGCTCTTTTGAACCTTCACCTAATCCACTCTCGCTAGCAGTAGAGCTCATTTTGCTAACAAACCAATCATACATATGAATACATCAAATTAAATTCATATGAAGTTAAATCAAAATATCTCAATAATAAGACAACATGAATACAACAATATATCAGTTTGCATCCAAGGGGGCACTGCCCCCTGGTAGGATTTGACCTGCCCGGTTAGATCGCGGGGTCAAGGGGCAGCGCCCCTGCGGGGGTTTCTGGGGGCAGCGCCCCAGGAACAAAATTTTATTGTAAGAGTAATTTTGAAGTTTTGCATGTTTTTAAAGTTCGTAAGTTGTTTGTATGGGAAGATACCGAGCATGTACCTAGCGGTACCGAGCATGTACTTAGCGGTACCGAGCATATATTGAGCGGTACCGAGCATGTACTGAGCGGTACCGAGCATGTACCTAGCGGTACCGAGCATGTACTGAGCGGTACAGAGCATGTACCTAGCAATACCGAGCATGTACCTAGCGATACCTCATTTAATAACCGGACACGCGTGTCCGATTTTAATTTTAATTTTTTAAATTGCGACACTCCAATGCCGTGTAGGACACGTTTCCATGCAGTGTCCAACATGTGTCCGTGTCCGACACGTGTCCGACACTGCATACCTTCTTTAAACGGAGTGCCGGTGCATCATAGGTTTAGAATCTATAAATTAGTCCTTTACAACATTAATTAGATTAGATCGGGTCATAACCCAACCGAATGACAAGCCCAGTTGCATGCTTCAATTGATACAATACCTCATCAAAATTTAATAGCATATAGCAAGTCTTTATCTTTATTTCATTGAGAGTGTACTAGTCAATATACAATCTCAATGTATCATCCTTCTTATGGACCATCATAATGGACAATCAACAAAGGTGAAATGATAGGCTAAAAACTCCATCCTCTAATAACTTTGCAACCTACTTTCCGGTTTCTTCATTCTTGTTGACTGAGTTATAGAACATCAAAAAGTTTGGTAACAACACATCTAAAATCAAATGTATACCATGCTTTGTGGGTCACTTCGGAGTTAAACCCTATACCTAATGAAGACTCAACCTAATGAAAGAGTGTTGCATACATCCCCGTCAATTATTATAGTTGTAATTATCCAATCTTGCTCAATGAAGAAAGAGTAAAACTCCTCTCTTCCTCAATAATAAGTCTGATGAGCACAAGTAAAAACTTTTGTATAGCAATTAAAAGTTAATCATTTTGGTTTGTTGTCACGTCATCTATTGTTGATACTCCAAAATGCTTTAGCAACTACTACATATCCACAATATGATGTTGCGTACTTGTTATGCATGTACAAACTAATCAAGATAACTTCATAAGTCTCATGTGGAACCACCTCAATCAACACTTCATCGAAGTAGTTCTTAGTGATTACAAACTTCAACTAGCACTAGTGATCAATTTTCAAACCAAACCCCTTTGGAATGCATCCCAAAGAGTAGGGATTTGGAATGAGACTAGTCACCAAACCCAACCTTTGTACTCGCTTTGCAGGGATTAAATTATTCTAGCAATCAATGCAAAAGATGGCAATGATCACCTCTCCATTGACCTATAGCCTTAAAGTGAATAACTCCTCGCTATATCCTTCAGCATTACCATAAGAGATAGAGATTGGTCCACTTTGTCTGCTGTACTCATAAATCATAATGATGTTTTCCACCAAAGAAAATAACAATCTTATTTTTAACATTTCTTCCACCTTTCGGTAGTAATTTAGAGTGCACAATCTAGTATTTTTCTTAGGTGAGGCTAGAAACCTAGCAATGTCATAGAAACACCCTAGGGCATGGGCATTTGTTTTTTCCCTCATTTACTTGTTTTTGAAGGAAGTTAATTCCTCTTTAAAAGTTATTGGATCATTTCAGTCTTAATTTTTTTGTTTTATGATCATTATCATGATATTGTCTTGGTTGAGGTCCGGGATAAGAAAGAGGCAGAGTTCATTAGCAATTTGAAAAAAAATCAAAGATATACTTCATAAGTGTTTATACATTCCAAAAGTTACTAGTTGTCTTCTGAAACTTTTGTTGTAATCGTACACAGATTGTTCTCAATGTTATCTCAAACAATCATTTCTTGAATCAATCCTCAACATAATTCATTGAGTAGAACTCATAATGCATTAATCTTTTGAATTGTTCTTTGGATGGCTACTTCCTTTTTAAGTGGTAGTTAACCAAGCTAATGGTGACCCCATAAGCCTAGCCAAAGCATATGCAGCTCATTCCTAATTTGTTAATAATGAATCATATGTGGTGTCATCTAATCATCTACAACAACAACAATAAGCCTTTATCTCACTATGTGGAGTCGGCTACATGAATCATTTTTCTCTATTGTTTCCTATTAAAAGTCATATTCTCGTTTAAATATAATCGAAAAAGATATTGTTAATACTTTCTAACTAAGTTTTTTTAAGTCAATCTCTATCTTTCATAACATAGGTCAGATATAATGCATTTATTCTCCTAACAAGTTCATCGAAATGCCAACATTTTGAGTGACCAAACCATCTAAGACGACTCTCTCTAATCTTATCTGTTGCTGGAGCTAATCCAACCTTTTTAATGCATAAGCTCATTTTGTATTATATCTCTAAGTGTAAAGCCACTCATCCACCTGAGCATCCTCATCCCTAAAACACTAACTTAATTTAATGCTTCTCTTTTTTTAATGACAAACATTCAAAACCATAAAGCATTACAGGTCTCACCAACATCTTATAAAACTTTCCCTTAAATTTGAGGGGTACTTTCCTATCACACAAACTTGATGCATTCCTCCACTTCAACCATCCAACTTGAATTTAACCAATGATATCCCCATCGCTTTGAACAGTATACCTGAGATATATAAAACGTTCACTCTTTTTAATAACTTGATCAACCAATGTCAAAAGCTCACCATTAGATCTATTACTACTAAAATTACATTCCATATATTTAGTTTAAATCTACTCAAATGAAAACCTTTAAACTATAACATTAACCTCCATAATTCAAAATTTTCATCAGCGGCCTCTCTAGTCATATCAACAAAGAGAATATCATCAACAAAAAAAGCATACACTAAGGTACATCCTCTTGTAAATGCCTGGTAAGAACATCCATGACTAAAGCAAAGAGATATGGCTTTAAAGCTAATCCTTGTGTGGGATCCGAAAATTCGGCCCCGGCCTCCCCGCC